GGGCTGCTCTGAATCTCTTCTCTGCCCAACCTGTACTTGTGCCTGGGATTGCTCTGACCCAGGTGTAGGACCTTGCACTTGGCATGGTTAAACCTCATGAGGTTGGCATCAACCCACCTCACAAAGCGTGTCGAGGTCCCTCTGGATGGCATTCCTTCCCTCCAGCGTATCAACCAAACCACACAGCTTGGTGTCGTCAGCAAACTTGCTGAGGGCGCACTCAATCCCACTGTCCATGTCAGCAACGAAGGTGTTGAACAAGACCAGTCCCAACACTGATCCCCGAGGGACACCACTCATTACTGGTCTCCAGCTGGACACCGAGCCATTGACCACATCTTTGCATGTGGCCATCCAGCCAGTGCTTTATCCACTGAGTGGTCCATCCATTAAATTGAAGTCGCTCCAATTTAGAGACGAGGATGTCATGCAGGACAGTGTCGAACGCTTTGCACAAGTCCAGGTAGATGACATCAACTGCTCTACCTCTGTCCATCAGTTCTGTAGCCCCATCATAGAAGGCCACCAAATTGGTCAGGCAGGATTTCCCCTTAGTGAAGCCATGCTGGCTGTCACCAAGCACCTTGTTGTTTTTCATGTGCCTTAGCATGCCTTCCAGGAGAATCTGCTCCAAGATTTTGCCAGGCACAGAGGTGAGACTGATGGGTCTGTAATTCCCCGGGTCATCCATTTTCCTCTTCTTGAAAATAGGGTTTGTATTTCCCAGGAACTTCACCTGACTGCCATGATTTTTCAAATACGATGGCCAGTGGCTTAGCAACTTTATTCACCAGCTCCTTCAGGACCCGCGGATGGATTTCATCAGGTCCCGTGGACTTGTGCACGTTCAGGTTCCTAAGATGATCTCAGTCCTGATCCTCTCCTATGGTGGCCCTAAAGTCTTCATTCTCACAGTCCCTGCATCTACTTTCCAAGACTTGGATGCTGGGGTCAGAACATTTGCCAGTGAAAACTGAGGCAAAGAACTCATTGAGAACCTCACCTCTCTCCAAATCCAGGGCAGCCAGAACTCCCATTGTGGTGTATTGAGACAGGAACTCAGGTTGGTGAGGATACTGAGACTCAGACCAAAAGTAAACTTTATTACAGTCAAGCCCTTTTATCCCCTTTTTTGGTACTTTTACAACCTGCACGAGTGCACCACGTTCAATCTCATTGGCTTCTTTAAAAAATCCCCAAGGTAAATAGTCCAATCACAATGCTGATCACACTCTGTTCTCGCGACGACAGTTTCACCCTCTTAGAATCATAGAATCATAGAATAGTTAGGGTTAGAAAGGACCTTAAGATCATCTAGTTCCAACACCCCTGCCATGGGCAGGGACACCTCACACTAAACCATCTCACCCAAGGCTCTGTCCAGCCTGGCCTTGAACACCGCCAGGGACGGAGCATTCATAACCTCCCTGGGCAACCTATTACAGTGCCTCACCACCCTAACAGTAAATAATTTCTTCCTTATATCCAATCTAAACTTCCCCTGTTTAAGTTTGAACCCATTACCCCTTGTCCTATCACTACAGTCCCTAATGAATAGTCCATCCCCAGCATCCCTATAGCCCCCCTTCAGATACTGGAAGGCTGCGATGAGGTCTCCACGCAGCCTTCTCTTCTCCAGGATGAACAGCCCCAACTTTCTCAGCCTATCTTCATACAGGAGGTGCTCCAGTCCCCTGATCATCCTCGAGGCCCTCCTCTGCACTTGTTCCAACAGCTCCATGTCCTTTTTACGTTGAGGACACCAGAACTGCACACAGTACTCCAAGTGAGGTCTCACAAGAGTAGAGGGGTAGGATCACCTCCTTCGACCTGCTGGTCATGCTTCTTTTGATGCAGCCCAGGATACGGTTGGCTTTCTGGGCTGCGAGCACACACTGCCAGCTCATGTTCATTTTCTCATCAACCAGCACCCCCAAACCCTTCACAACAACATCCTGGTTTATCACCCCAAGGCTTGCTTGTTTATAAAGCCTCATAGCTTGTTCCCAGAGTGTTCCTAATGCATATCCTATCGCTTTCACCTCCCACATCCCCTTAGCTTCTGGAGAGGGCCCACATTTTCCGTAGTCTGTCATTTGTTTAATGCATATCTACAGAAGCCCTTCCTGTTATCTTTCACATCCCTTGCCAGATTAATTCTAGCTGGGCCTTAGCTTTCCTGACCTGGTCCCTTACTTCCCAGACATCATCCCTATATTCTTCGCATGCTGCCTGTCCTCACTTCCACCTTTTATAAGTGTCTTTTTTCCCTCTAAGTTTTCTCAGCAGTTCCTTATCCATCCGTGGAGGTCTCACAGCCCTCCTGCTGCACTTCTTTCTAGTCAGGACGCAACACTCCTGAGCATGTAGCAGGTGGTCCTTGAACATCAACCAGAAGTTTGCACCCTCCTGCCTCCTAGGGCTTTATCTTACGGAATATTACTGAGCAGGATTCTAAAGATGCCAAAGACTGTTCTCTTGAAGTCCAGGGCAGTGAGCTTGCTGTATGCCCTTCTCACTGTCCTGAGGATCTTGAATTGACCATCTCATGACTGCGATAGCAAAGGCTGCCTTAGAAAATCATATTCACAACCAGCCCCTCCCTGTTGGTGAGCATTGTGGGGGTACAGAATATAGGGTTCTACATGACAAGCCCTGACCTCGGTCTCATACAATTGTACCCTTACATGATACTTAGCTGAGGGTTTTTAAAATTGTTTGACACAACTGAGTCAGTTACTTGTTTTGCCTGAGTGTTTCAGGGAAAAGTTGCTCAGCTCATGTGTTTTAAATCAAATTGGGGATCAAAACACTTTATTGAGCTATCAAGAGCATGGAATTAGGCAGCAGTCACTGAGGTGTTGCATTCAAGCACTAATACAGGACGTAAGCCCCCAGAACAAGCACATGAATGTTAATGAACACAAGCAAATACCTGAACACCCTGTGTAACAAATGCAGAAGAGATTTCTGAAATTATTCTTCTTTCCAAGATGTCCTCACCATAAGCAGCGTAGTAGCAACTGCCACATGGTGTATTGGTAAGAAATGATGAGGAAACCCTGTGTGCTCTCTATGTTTCTGCGATGTTCATGCAGAGGGAACCAAAACCCCTTTCTTTCTTTCTTTCACCTCTGGGTTCACCGCATTCAAATGACTGTACGTGGTATAAAAGCCTTTCTTGTTACAGTCTGGACATAGGGATTAATTTAGGGGGACACCTTGGACCCAGTGTGTGGCCGCCATGGATAGGGTCCTCCCCCTGGGCCTCCTGGGCACAGACACTGCCTCAGGACCAGCACCCCAAAGGCCTTTCTCCAAGGCACATTGGGTGAAGAGGCAGCAGCAGCAGGGCTGTGGGGGCCCTGTCACCCCTATGTCATAGTGCCAGCACCCGGCACAGGAAGGGTTCTTGCTCCCAGGCTGGATCAGGCCAGCAGCATTTTGCTGCTGTTGGAAGCCCCTGAGATGGCTCCAGGTGGAGGCAGAACAGGCAGTGCCAGCGTCCCCTTGTCCCCCCAGAGGCATAACCAGCCCGTGGACCCGGAGCAGGTCTTGCTCATGTGCTCAGGGAGAAGCCAATTGCCAGCACTGGGGTCAGGAAGGAATTTTCCCCTGGGGCCAACTGGCATGAGTCCCTGGGGGTTTTTTGCCTTCCTCTGAGCACTGAGCAAGACCACTTGTCAGGGCTCCTCTGGTCCTGGTGCTCTGTTATCGCCTGGTGCTCATGCACCACGAAGGTGGTCCCTCATGTCCTGCAGCTATGGGGGGAAGGCTTTTTTGCCCCCAGGTGGACTAGCAAGGGTCCCCGGGGTTTTTTGCCTCCTCCGAAGCAGAGCACAGCCCCTCCATGGGGATCCTTTGGGTTATTGGTAGCCCAAAGGCAGCTGCTTGTGCTCCACGCAGGTAGCCCTCGTGCCCTGCATCCAGGGGGGAGGAAGCCTTCTGTGCTCCCAGGGTGGCCCCAGCGTGGCCCCGGGACTTGCTGCTTCTCTCTGTTGCATTGAGCACCCCCTGTTGTCAGGTCTTCCCCGGCCCATTGTGGCTGGGTTCTTTCTCACACTGCTCTTGCCCCACCACGGCACCGCTCCTGTCCCAGCTTTGCTTCTTTGTCAGGCTGCAAGGGAGGTTTTTTCCAGCTAGACTGAAGGATGCGTCAGCCTGCTGCTGGCTACGCATGGGCATCGGGTTAATGCTTGTGAGCATCAGCTCTGGGAGATTTAGAACAAGAAAATATCATCTAGACTAGAATAAAATTAACTCAACTAAACTGATTAAAATATATTTATAAATAAATTAAATACCCTTTCCACCTGTAACCTGATTTGTGTCTGATTTCTGTCTTTGAAAGAGTTTTAAGTGCTGAAAACCCCTTTTGATTTCAGGTAAATAGTGGTCACATCATTTTACCACTCATCCTGAGTGCCAGGAATGGAATGGGATGGAATGGAATGGAAAGGGATGGGATGGAATGGAACAAAAGAGAATGGAATGTAATGGAACAGAACAGCTATGATATGTTATGCATATAGTTCTTCACAACAAGCTCTGACTTAAGTCTGAGGGGCCATCTGCAGTGCAGGTCCCAAAGGGGGCAGATCCCAAGCACTAAGGCCTATGAACACCCTCTGGACCCCAACAGCAGTAGGCCTGCACCCCACATACACTCTCCTTTAGACCTGTATGGGGTACCACTGGACAGAAAGTATTGGGCCAGATGGACTCCTGATGGAGTGTGGTTTTTCTCAGGCTCTCGTGTTTGGTTCTGTTTCTCCAAAAGAAACAACTCAGGCAATTTTAAAAACTAATATTTGGGGGAGGGCTGGGAACGGGAATGGGGGGGAAATCACAAGGAAATGAGCAGGTATTGCCCACTACAAAAGATCTGCAACCATCGAGTTCAGGAGCACATCCTGCTTCAGGCTGAGGGCTTGATCTTTGAGCCTCACTGCTGTCAGAGATGTGCTCTTTTGCTACCCTGTGAAACCCAAATTAACGAGATGAGCACAGAAGAGTTTCAAAAACCAGTTCACACGTGGTTTTTGAAACTCTGTTCCGATGCTCAAATTACCCAGAGACAATCGACATCTCTCACCCCCCTCAGAAGGCACAGGCCTCCTTCCCACAAAGTGACAGAGCCAGTGCCTGTGGTGGGACATGATTACCCATTCAATCGCTTCCGCTGGCGCAGGACTGGGAAGAAAGGTCATCCAGTATTTCCTCAGCAGGTACTGATAGGGAAAGAAGGAAGTAGGGAAAAAAAAGACGGAAGTTGGAAGAGACCTACAGTGATCATAAGTCCAACTGCTCAACCACGTCGGGGCTGGCCAATAGTTTAAGCATGTTATTAAGGGTGTTGTTATCCAAATGCGTCCAAAACACTGATGGGCATAAGGCATTGGTCACCTCTCTAGGAAGTCTCTTGAAGTTTCTGGCCACCCTCTAGGTAAAGAAATGCTTCCTAGTGTCTAGTCTAAACCTCCCCAGGCAGCTCTGCACCATTCGCACGCATCCTATCGATGGATCCCGGCGAGAAGAGATCAGCAGCGCCCTCTCCATTTCCCCTACTTGGGAAAAGCTGTCGAGAGCAATGAGGTCACCCCTCAGCCTCCTTTTCTCTAAACTAGACAGATGCGGTGTCCTCAGCCGCTCCTCACAGGACATGCCTGTGTTGCTGTCCTATGGATGCGTTCAAGGAGCTTCATGTGCTTCTTAACTGGTGGAGCCCAGAACTGCACCCAGGACTCACTGTGAGCCTGCCCCAGCGCTGATTGCAGCTGGAGAGTCACCTCTTCTAAGTGGCAGGTCATACTGTGCATGATGCACCCCAGGCCTCTGCAGCCTGCACCAACATCTCCAATGAGAAACTCGGTGACTGTCCCTTTCCCCCCTCACTCCAGGCCACCCAAGAAATCAGCCTATGGGAGAGAGACCAGCGGTCGTGCTGCGTTTCAGGTGTTTGGATAAATGTGCTGGGGGAATTGTGTCCAATCTCTCAATCTCTGCCCTCTATACAGTACCCTTACGTGATGCTTAGCTGAGGGTTTTTAAAACTGGTGACTAGTTGCCAATCAGTTGTCGCCCCATTCACGACAACCCTGGCAGTCACTGCTCACCTCAGTGGAGTGCCGGCTCCCGATCAAGGCCTGGTGAGGGCTTGAGGCTCACTCGGTGGTTTTCGCTTCTCAGAACTCAGGCTTCTTGACGCTGTATTCCCTGTCGCTCTGGGATTCAGGGCTCCCCTCTGGAGGTACTTATCTCAGCAGCAATGAATAGTTTAGTTTGGAAGGGACCAGTAAATGTCATCTAGTTCATCCCCCAATGAATTTATAAAAATGAGTAAATTAATATACCTTTTAATAAATAGTTTATTTTTATATATTCATAAGCAATTACATTTTAGTAAATTTCATAATTCCATAAAGACCAATAAATGCCTCATAAAAGAGTGGTTATTTGGAACACTTTTTCTGAGTTGTAAGAGACTTTTACATAATATGTTGGTGTTTTTTATATGTCTCTTAGGTATTAACTTATTAGGATTGAAAAGCTGTTAAAATGTCTGGCAAGAGTTTCAATTACTGGTCAGCCCTAAACCCATGTATTAAACAGGTAAGTGTGCCTACCCTAAGCCATGTACTTCTGTTTTTCTCTTCTTGCAAGCAAATTAACTGATCTCAAACCTTTTTTTGCAGGGAGACATCCGAATTGGAGCATGGCTATTTCTGGGTTCTTGTTTTCACACCTGTATGGCTAGGTCTTCGATTTTGATTTCAGAAGACAAAAATTCGTCTTGCTTTATTTTTTCATTATAGCATTTGCTTCTGTGTAGTGGTGTACTTTTGCATGGTTTGTCCTGCTGTCAGACCTGTTGTGTCTTTAACAGAGGAAGGGACGGTAAGCATTTTAATGTAACTCATGGAAGATCAGAAATGATGTTTTTTACACCATGCTTGAAAAGTAGGTGAACTAGATATACATTAGTAAGTCAGTGACAGAGCCCAAATGGCTGATGAGGACTTGCAATGGGAGTAAGGTACTCTTACAAAAACTCTTTTGTATTTTGAGTGAAATTTCTGAAACAGGTTAGTTTCTCAGTGGCCTGGTATCACAGAATGTCTAAATTTAGGAGGCATCTCTGGAGATTAGCTAGTCCAATGCCTCTGCACAAGGTAGGGTCAGCTAGAGCAGGCTGCTCAGGATCTTGCCCAGTTGCATCTGAGTATCTCTGAGAATGGAAACTCCACCTCCTGTCTGGGCAACCAGTTTCAGTATTTGATCACACTCACAGTAACCAAGTTTTCTTCTTGTTTATAAATTACCTGGAAAAAAAAAAAAAAGATATTTCCTTGGTCCTTTGTGATTAGGATTTCAGATCCTGCTTTTCTGCAAGCCATTTAGATGTGTACTTTTACCTTTTCTCTTTTACTTGTTATTAACTGTTCTTAAATTTGTCTGAAATAGAAAGTAGAAGCTGAATTGGAAAACTTCGGGTTCTCGCTGAAGAGCATCCTTCTGATTTCTTCAGATAAAAGGCTGATAGTTGGTTGGGAAATACTTAAATGTCATGTTTTTAACATGTGCTTTGGCACTGTTAGTCAGGGTCTTAGTTACTTAGCTACCTCTCATATTTCTTTCTTTTCTCAGAAATCAAAGGAACATATACTCTTCAGCTTCCTTATTAAATATGTCCCTACTTTAATTTTTGAATTACAGTACATAATGGACTTTCCAACATTTATATAGCTTTGCAAAACCTTTTGAAGAAAACATAAACCGCTGGTTTTCTGTCTTTCCAGTAATCCCCCTGTATTTGGTGCCTTTAGTTTAAAAACACATGGATAGACTAGCCTTTGCCATCATTTGTGTTAATGTTTGTTGGCTGTTTTTTGTGTCTCTAAACATACTGGAGAATTTGGCTTATCCAAGAAACAACATTTCATGTGTTATATATTCACAGGATTATTAATTTAAGGCACAAATGTGGTCTAATAGTACCACAAGTAGTTGGCTTAGACGTCATTCTATATTCCTCCCGTTTTAAATGCATTTTTCCTCATAAAACCAGCATTTTTTTCCGTAATAATAGTAATCTTTAGGGACTCAGCAATTATTTTGATAAATAGAGTAGTCCAAAATGTATGGAAAATTTTAACCAAATACAGTAGTCTATATTATTTATCAAGGCAAAATTGGCAGCCTGTATTTTTATTCTTATCTGTTTGATTTTTCAATATTCTACTTCCTCTGCTACAATCAAAGTAAGACGTAGTGACTTTTTTGTATGTTTCCAATAAACACTTGGTAGCTGTTTTTATAACAAAGATGAACTTCAATTTGTGTATTCCTAACATTTTTCCATATGAAATTATGGGACATGGCTTTGGTTAATACTTACGATAGTGACACAATCTAACTTTGATTTTAAAAGGAAATTCTTTAGGCATTGTGGAATCAGCAGTTTAGATAATCTGACATCTTACTCATTTCTTGCATCCTGATGATGGTACATGAAATACAGAAGACAAATTTTCTGTGCTTTTTCTTTCTCTACTGCCAGAAAGATTCAGAGAAATTAAAAAATGAAAATTTGCATTTTTAACCACTAAATGCTGTTACTTTAATGAGAGGTACCAAGTAAGATTAATGGAAACACAAGAGCTAGTCAATGTTTAAGAATGCAAAAGAATTTCACCTTCTCAGAGACCACTGTGTCAGTTACTAGATCACATGAACTGTTGGGACATACAGGTTTTATAACTGATCATTCTACCATACCCAGAAATGATATTTCCTGTGTTGATCTCAAATTGCTGGAAAAGTATTTTATGAGTGGTGCTGTGAATTTCTCAGAGGTTTATGAGCTTTCTGAGCTCTTGGATCTTTGTTTCTGTTTTCCACACTGGTCCACTTTTAGGTTTCCTGTAGCTGTACATTTACACCTTTGTCCAGTAGTAATATCTTTATTTATAAATAATGCAGAATATTTGTTTAGCTTTGACTTTGTACTTAGATGACTGTGAATCTCTTCATCACTATTGCATAATAGCTGCTTTTTATATTTTTCTACTCCATGTAATTGATATGGCTATATAAATTTACCCATAAAAAAATCATTAAGTATGGAATTCAGCTTCACTTTTGGCAAGTGTCTTTTAAACATACATTTTCTGTCCTCTTAGGCATTGCTTATGCATCTGAGCAGTTGCTTTTATATTCCTTAAAAAGATCTGTTTAATTCTAATATCATCTGTGAGGAATGGTTTCATGCAGTTGCATCTCAAACTATTTTCAGCAATTTCTCCTTATGGATTTACTGGTTTTGTAACTTAACTCTGACTGCCGATTATTCCAAGTTGGCTTTATGTACAAGTCTGTGAGTTCTTTAAGAATTTTTAATCCTGTAGGGACTTTGTACAATGGAAACTATTTCAAGCTTCTTTTCTTTAAAAATCTCTTAAAATTCGTGGCAGGTCAATTCATGGCAGGTCATGTTAACTAACAGCCAAGGTTAATTAATGGGGTATTTTTTTAATATAATTGGAAAACTTTTTTTCTGTATGACTTTTTTATGCTTTTCCATGTTTGATTACTGGAAGGCTGGCTTTTATTTTAGTGTATCTCTGTCTCTGAGATTTTTTCTATTTGTGTCATGCCTGGCCAAAGAGGACTAGCCAAACTGGAAAAATCCTTTCAGGGATATGGAACCATAACACCTAAATACTATTGGAGTTTTGCATGTTGCAACACAATGTAAACACTGACATTTTAAAGACATGGCAATTTCTTGTTTAGTTATGTAAGTCTACCGCTGCTCTTCCTTTTACAGAAAAAAGAAAAAATATGTAGTCTAACATTGCTGTCAGACACATTACTTCTGGTAATTCTGTGTTTCTATGATTACTTAAACTTGCAAAAGTTGTTGCTTGATAGAGCCTAGCAGACTGTTTCGGATGTGCTGCTGTAGTTCTCCATGCTGTAATGCATACCCAATAATATTGGTTTATCTGATTTTAGGTAGGAGAAAGCATTAATTCCACATAGAGACTGAAGCTGTGGTTCGAACTTCTGTCTTTGAAAAATGTGTGTCCTCTTAAAAATATGCCAAATTATACAGATTCAGCAGTGTGGCTGCAAAAGTTGTAGGTACAGGTTACAAGACTATTTCCCCTAGGTTTTAGTATTTGTACTGAAAATTCTTTTCATTGGACAGGTCATAATTTCACTC